AATACTTGGGAAAACATACCCCTCTCTAGATGCCGCACCCTTGTAGACTCCATGCAGTCCAGATGTGCCGAAATAATAAAAAATCGTGGGGGAGCAACTTCATACTAAATGTAAGGCCATTTGTATGCATTTCAAAACAACAAACGTGTGTTCTTGTAATTTTTCATGCTTTGTTCTTATTTTTTCGAACAGKCTGTTTAAGACCCAATGCAACAAAATTTGCAGTACAAAAAAGTTAGTGCGTATTTGATGACCAGATTTTCAATTTTTTTAATACTCACAATATGTATAAATTTTTTAAGAAAAAAAGGTTCAATAAAATATTACTGAGAAAATTTTATTCAATGATTTCGATATTCACTTTGGTTGTTCTTATTATTTCGAACACGTCTGTAAGTGCATAAGCACGTACGGAAAAGTCGCCAGGTGAATTTTTTTATCACTACGCTTCGATGAGGTACGGCCATTGGCGGCAACGGAGAGCACGGGAAATAACAGTGAGCAGCTGTTTTGCAGAGAATATGCACCAACTCCTTAATGGAACATCATTATATCTGCTTATCTGGCAGTAAACGTCGGGGGCTTCGGTGCGTTTCTCTCCGCAGATGTGCACATTAACCGTGGCACATACTGCCATATGTATTTTGAACATATGCATGTTCGCCTAATTACCACAGCACGCTCCTAAACCGTTGGCTACCCAATGTCCTGACTACACTGTTTGATGCCTTGCTCAATTTTGAATCAATTGCAAGGCGTACCTTTCAGCTTCTTTGTCGGTTCATCAGTTTCAAGTGTGTGCGCCGGACTATGTATGTGTGTTTATTGTTATAAGTTACCTTCTCGCGCCTGCAGTATGTACATTTGCAGCTGCCGCTTTCAAAATTTTGTAAACACTTTCAAATTTGTTGCAGCCATGCCCAAACAAACTTACATTCATGTGCTGAACACAATGCTCTCGACAGACTACAAACGATCTCTGCAAATATTAAAATACACACGTTCTTATGGACGGACCTATTTTGACAGCTGCATGACTACACGRCTGCAGGCCGACAGTTGTCGTTCTCGCTAACTTCAATATTTTCTTATATTTGCCAACGACAGTGGAGTTGACAGTAGAGAGATGAGGAAGAGTGGTGATGCCACTAATATGTAAAATTACTCAAAGCTCTAACAAACCTGACGTTATTTTACAAATAAAAGCATAAAATAGCTCTGTTACATCATTTGTAATAACAATTGACAATTTAAACCCAATAAATTTACCTATTTACTTATTTTTTGCATAAAAAGTTTCAATTTGAACAAAATATTATAATTTCATTGAAGTGCAAGGTATTAGTATGGCCACAACGAAATTGTGTACATGCAAAATTGACAACTGCGTTGTTTTATGTACATGCCGGCTATTGTTGTGTTGCTGCCCTCTCACAAATGTTCATGTAGTCAGATTCAGAGTCTGTCTAGACAATGCTAGATTGTGTTCAACACATCATACTGCAAGTCTAAATATATCGTATGCATGTACCATATCTTGCTATAGATATCACCTAAAACCAATGAAGTTAATGCATAAATGATCAGGATGATTGGATGAGTTGAAATTAAAGTAGTGCCTTGGAAGTATGCCACCCTATTTCCATAAATTATCCAAATCGGACATACGTACCGAATAAGTTGACCCCGTAATAATAGTTGACTTCTGACTGAAAATATCCGTCAATTTGTGAGATATATATTTGAAAAATAGGGATACTAGTATTTTTGGGCGTAAAAAATGGGTCAATATCATATACCCAATGTAAAGATTTTCGAACTTCCGGTACAAAGTCACCGCATATATCGGCAAATTGTAACTTATCACTACGAAAATAAGGGGTCAATACCACCCGATACTAAAGTCTATACTTTTTATAAAATTTTGCTAGCACCTGAAGGAATTTCCCGGCCATTGATCTTTGCGCATTGCAAGAGTATAAAATGTTCAGTCACGTCCTAACTTAGCTGTTCCTTACTTGTTATGACCCTAGACCCCATAAAGTTTACATCGATTTAGCCATGTCCATCTGTCTGTATATATACAAAGTAGTCCCTCAGTTTGTAAGATATCGTTTTGAAATTTTACAAACGTCATTTTCTCTTCAAGGAGCTGTTCATTTGTCGGAACTGCCGATAACGGACCACTATACATATAGCTGCCATACAAAGTGAACGATCGGAATCTAGAGCTGGTATGGAACACTCTTGCATTTGACAAAATATATTCACCAACAGATATTTTCTAAGGTACAGATTATTTTCTAAGGCAACAATGTAATATCCAAAGAAATTGTTCAGATCTGCTCAATATAGCATATAGCTTTTTTGCCCCTAAATTGTTCGATTGCAATTACATAATACGCAAACTCATAATACATTGTTTCTAAATAATTAATTGCGTAATACGAAGTAGAATTTAAATGTCACACGTATTAATTTCCATTTCCAATAAATTCGGCATGTTACTTTTTTACTGTCAAATGTTCTTTTTCTGCACAACAACTGGTTATCTTGGCAAAAAATAATTATTTAAAGTTTCCAAATATCGATTTATCACTTTAAGTACTCACCTTAAGTATCACGTGTTTGCTTCCAAGAATTTTATAATTATTAGTAAATCCACTTCCGCCGGAAGGCACAATAACGTATTTCTGTCTCTATAAATGTTTTAACTTTTTACTTTTTGTTGATAAGAAAGCACTTGACGCACCCCCAATCGAATAGAACCTGCACCGGGCGTTTGAGTGGCGCATCCAATAGTAGCTTGCCGGTTATTTATTGGAAGCTACTATCCGCTATCTCAAAAATAATACAGTAATTATGTGTTTGTTATTGTACATTAATTGTAACTCTCGATCGATAGAGAGTATTTAAACACATTAATTTGTTAGCTCAATTTGTCACAAGCGAGAGTGAACGAGTCTTACTCTACATATGTACATACTCGTATGTAAGTATTTCCGCGCGTTCTAAAAATTATTGTTAGTTTATGCACATACATATGTGTGCATGTGTGAATTTGTTGCGCTTCCGTTGTGACTAGACGGTTTTTCCGCTGTTTCAAAATCTTCTGTTTTTGTTATTGGTGCGCTCTGTTACTGTTATTGGTGCATTAATATTGTATTAGTTGGCGTAACTCGAGTTGAGAGAGGTACCTCGGGGAGATTTACATTTAAGGTATTTTGTTGTTTTGGTTTACTTTCCTCTAGCTGTTTCCTGTTTATTTTGGATAGTCGTATTCTCTGTGTATGTTTCTAAATAGATCACTACACACCCCTCAAATACATGTACTATATATTTTACTTTTTAAACGATTTTTTGCACACTGATTTATTTTTTTCCTCTTGACTAAATCACAATTCACAAAATTTCTGAAGTTATCCCACCGCTAACGACTTTTATGCGGTATTTAACTTAGTGAACTTTCCGCTCGAAATTATTTTGCACGCCGTTTGCTTTGCGAATTCGGAGCCAAAGAAGATAGACCAAAGTAATCGCTGCACTATTGAAACTTGCTCTTTGAACTACTTTTTGAAAGTTCCGAAAGTTTTGTGCCCTCTATGTCACAACTCTCCGCCGCTAAGCTGCTGTACAATGTGTTTTTCGTTTCTTTACTCTTACTAAGAGACTTCTTTTTCCGATTTATTTCGCAATGCGTGTAGTTGCAAGCACGAAAACAAACGAAAACTTTAACAGACTTTTGTTTCATTAATTATTTCTGAATTTCACTTTTTCTCCGTATTATTTTTTCTAAGGTAAATATTTTCCTCCAGAACTCAGCACTTTTTCTTGTGCACTTCTGCATGTGCAATTAACTCTCGATGCAACTATAGTAAACACTTTTATTTTATACGCAATGCCCGATTTGTCTCAGTACATACGCTTTTTTATATTTTTTTTTACAGCGTTTGCTCGCGTGCGTTCATTCTTGCGTACAATAACATGTACCTCACTTCACCGAATGAGTTGTGGTTCTGTATGCGCTGCTAGTTTTGTTATTCGGTGGCGCAGTGTGCTGCGAGAGAACAAATAATAAGGTTTGCCATTTTCTCTGATTGTGCTCGTCGATGCTCTTCTATGACGTTTACTGCATTCGGTTCGTTCCAATTTCTGCAACATGTTCGCGATGGCATTGTCGGATCGTTGTGTGCCCTACAATTGCCTTTATCTGGGTTAATACGCGGAAACTTTTGTTGCTCATTACCGGAAATCCGGCAACTCGAGTCGGGAAACTTTATGCATTCCCTTTCATAATTTCAAACAAACAATATTAACACAAATTCACAAATTTTTATACGCTTCATTTAAGCTTTGCCGAAACTATTTTTCATTCGATAAATTTTATCCTTATTCACGATGAACGGAATGTTTTTCGTCTCTCACCGCCGGTCTATCGCCTACAAAGTACATGTTTGGTCAACAGTTTGTCTCCGTGTATAAACGTACACTTTAGAAATTTGGCTTTCTATTTACACCACCTTCTCTGGGGTAAATCTTGTGCATTTTTAAACTCTAGCAATATGATGCAGAGAATATAATAGCATTGTTAATTTCGTTTCTTTATAACTACGATTTATATTTCAGATCTTGTGTTCTTGATGAACTTGTGTTCTTTGGCACAATGAGAGTATTGTTATTTCAGACAGGCGGAATCGCTGCTATGAAGGGCTATAACTCAGCCACAACTTAAGCAGCTAATTTGAAAGTAGGTATATAGTCCCGATTTCTAATAAGTTAATCTTACAAACTACGAAGGCTCTATTAAACAAACTTGGGTCCACGCCCATCTCTCATATAACGGATTGTGGGAAACTTCTAAAAGTGCGATAACTTATTAAAGTCTTTTTTATTTCATTGTCATTGTAAATGGTTAATATAAAATAAATTAACGAACAACTTGTTTTAGTTTTGTATAATACAAAATAATTAATGGTGCTCTGCGTATAAATCTCTTCGTTTAAATCACGCGAGTCTGGATACTGTATAAGCAGATACGGTTTTTTGCGCTGAAGACTTTCGTTTCATTTACATTTAGCGACAAGCATATTTATCGTGACAAAACTGATATGGCCACTTGCTTGTAAACAAGAATATTTTTTATATTTGGATAGGGAAGAGTTTCTACCCAAATGCCAATCTGAAGTATTAAGCTTTACGTCAAAAATAGTTCAGTCCGGCAACTTTTAAGTGAAGTCGTATATCACTGAAGCTACTCGACTTATGTATTTCAAGTAGATTTGATATATACATATTATTATCTTGACGACAATATGTTACTGTGTGTGAATGACAAGAAATTGCTTTCAAGTTAAGCATAGAATTGCCGGCATCAGTCCATAGAATGCATAATTATATGTATGTATGTATATATGCGCTCCACTCGTAAATATATTAGAAAGAAATAAAGGGTGCTCGGATCGCGCCAACATGCACACATCTGCGTCTCTCAATACCAATTGGGCCATGGCAAGAATATTTAAATACTAATAGAAAATAAACAAAATTTCGACTATTCAAGGGAAGCAGAGACTCATCTGCGCAAGTAGAAATATGATATGTAACACCTTACAAGTAGTTATATGATTCAAAGTAAGATTATTATGTCGAGTTTTCAAAAAATCTGTTATTGCAGATGGTGTTCGGCATATGCATAACAAATGAACAGCAGCTCGTATGTTCATATTATTATATATACCTACACATATATACATTGTCATGTAACGCCTTTTAGTTTACTTTCACACTTATTTATAGTATGTACACGATGAGCAATTGATCGAATATTTCTGGTGATGAACTGCATATGAATGTGCTGAACGCAATGCTCTCGACAGACTGCAAACGATCTCTGCAAATATTACAATACACACATTCATATGGACATACCTATTTTGACAGCTGCACGACTACACGACTGCAGGCCGACAGTTGTCGTTCTCGCTAACTTCAATATTTTCTTATATTTGTCAACGACAGTAGAGTTGACAGTAGAGAGATGAGGAAGAGTGGTGATGCCACTAATATGTTAAATGTAAAATTATTCAAAGCTCTAACAAACCTGAAGTTATTTTACAAATAAAAGCATAAAATAGCTGTATTATATCATTTGTAATAACAATTGACAATTTAAAACCAACTTACTTTTTGCTTAAAAATTTCACTTTGAACAAAATATTAAAATTTCATTGAAGTGCAAGCCACAACGAAATTGTGGACATGCAAAATGGACAACTGTGTTGTTTTGTTCATGTAGTTGGATTCACAACGTCATTTTCAGTTCACTGTCCTGGTGCTGCAGTCTGTCGCGAGCATTGTGTTCAGCACATCAAGGTTGTGAGATTGATTGTCGATCCTTTATGCAATAGTTATGGTGACATTTAAGTAACCACGTATGACAATACATTTTTATTTTAATCCATTTAACCCCTTTAATAAAATTCACTCCGTTTTGACTTGAATTGGAACCTATCCAGTGTTTATCGTGCCCCCATTTATAGTTTATTTCTCACATTATCTAGATATGGATGTAATCATGAGCACTGAAAGAGGAAAGCATTCATAATTTATCTATAATTGTTCAGATATCTGTACAAGAAATAATAATAAAACAAAAACAAACTAGGTACATCAATATTGTAAATTATATTGGGAAAACGTTTGTTCTCTTTGAACGACACGCCTGGCATTAATTTACTTCAAAGTAAATTTAAAAAAAATGTATTTTCTCCTTCATTCATAGTCACGTTTCGAATAGACAGGAAATCCTTGCTAAGTAAAAATCACATTGAAAACAAACAAAAATCATAGATATGCACACACATGCAGAGTAGTTGTACTATGTATGCCGGCAATTTCAGCCACATCCGGGCCGAAGTGAATGAAAAACACTAGCGAGCCTACATCTGGCTCATCCTAAATAAACATAGTCGATATCATCGTTACTTGATCGAAACTGCGGTCGTCGTGTTGCTTAATTTGCGCGCATGCGTACACACACGTCATCCGTACAAACAAAGCAAAACCAAAAATTATATCTGCTGATAGCTTTGAATGATATACATATGTACATACCTATCTGAAGGACGTTTCCCGCTTTTTTACGGGGCATCTCGACAGGATAGAATTTATAGAATACTAACTGTCAAATCTACTGTTCATTAAATTTAAGACTTCGCTCATTCCTAACCGAAATTGCATAATTTTTCAGTAAATCAACAATATTAAACTAAATATTAATTTTTGAGAAAATGTTATTTTGAAAATGTACTTTATTTTCAGAATATAACACAGTCGTCTTAATACTCGCTCCACTAAATTTCATATTACTGAAACGAAAATGCCGGCGGCATATGTGCAAATAGGATATGTTGCCTCTTCGAAATTTTCATAGAAATGAAAACTGCGCTGTCATGCGCGGAACACAATGCTCGCGACAGACTGCAGCAGCACGACAGTGAACTGAAAA